GACAAAGACAAGGGAGACTGGAATGGCCATTTCTGGCTTATTAGCCGTCGTCAGCCAGCCATACCCAAGCCCGAAGTGTGGAACACCCGAGCCTCGAACTCGCGACCTGTTGGTTTAGAAGTCAACGCCTCTACTCACCGGGCCACGAGCCCGTTGCCCTGTCGGTTTTCGATCGGGAATATACAATGTTAGGGGGGCGCTCACCAATCGTTCATACGGAACTCACTCGTTCCGTTGTGCCTTATGGACTCTCTCTCTCGAGCCCGACCAGCAGCCGCACAGCGGCGCATGACATATAGGCAGAATGATATTACCGACAAAGACAAGGGAGACTGGAATGGCCATTTCTGGCTTATTAGCCGTCGTCAGACAGCCATACCCAAGCCCGAAGTGTGGAACAGCCGAGCCTCGAACTCGCGACCTGTTGGTTTAGAAGTCAACGCCTCTACTTACCGGGCCACGAGCCCGTTGCCTTGTCGACCGTAAATGGCCGCCATTTCTGCCTCAGACGTTAAATCGCAACTAAACATTCCAGCGAACATTTCTTCTCAGACGGTTTCGCGCATAGACAATTATACAAGTTAAGCTGACGTAGTACCGTTGGGGGCAAAATCTGGGTTCAGGGAAAAAAAGTCCACAGTAATTAGAGCATTCAGAAGTACTACGATATGTACACCGAACCCCCGTGGCTGCAATGTATTAGCGTTGAAGAAAACTGAAGTAAAGCCTTCATCGATGCATGTATGTTCAATTCGTTTGAACCCAACCACTTTTGAATAAACTTAAACCGCCGGATAGGGATTGTGAGGCCGGTTAGACGAGCTCGCGGATTTAAGGTAATCAGCGAAATAAAACAAGCGACACTTACTTTGGATGTTGCTGAGTAGTGCAAATTCTGCAGGGCTAGAACGCTTTTAGATTTGGAGAGACTCAAACTGCTTAGTCCTTAACTTCTGGCCAGGGCCGCTGGTGTGACGGCATCGGCTGTACAAACTTCTATACTCAATAAATTTTGACTGGCTAGGCGTGCTAAATGCAGCCTGAGCCGCTTTTCTGCCGGGTGGTAAACCACTTATTCGCATTGGACATTGTAAACAAATTCGTAAAGTTCGCTTTACCTGAATGCGTAGTAGATGAACCCGTGAATAAATCATACTCTGGGCCTAAAATGCTCAACAACAAAGTGGAACGCAGATTCCATTCTCAAGTCCTGTAAAACTGGGTAATGTAGGACTGACCTACGACGGCTAATAAGCCCCAAATAGTCATCCAAGACTCGGCCTTGTCTATGTTTGTGCTCCTCCCTGTATATATTGGTGGTGGATATGCGACAGACTTCGTAGAATCGGGACTGGTCTTTAAAAGCACAGCTAGACAAAATATATCCCCCAACCCGATAATTGAACGCGCTTCCAACAGCAGTTAATAACCCTGATCGCATCCGACAGGACAAGCGACAGTTCGTCCGTCGATTTCGACGATGACCACCGTGTGCCCCACAGACTGCATTGTGGGAGCAGGGACGGTGACTTACGCAGGGGTTTATAGTGCCAGTCGACTTGCGTAGCATCTACCTACACTCTCTCCTCCTCCCCCGCCTGGGCCCGGTGTCAAGACAGAGTCAAGAAGACCGGAGACGAGGGAGGCCGCAGGTGGATGGCTCGGACGGATCCTCACCTTGGCGTTCCACCACACCCCCTGGTCAACACAACAATAACCAGGATTTCAACCAACACAACAGAGATTTGGAGGCTGGCACGACCGAAGCCGCACCTGGGCGTGCCGCCAACGCCTGGCTCGGATCCCACACTGTGGTGAGAGTGCCATAAAGGCCACATTAAAAAGGAGCCATTGCAGCCTGACTCTCAGACCGCCTCCCGTGAAGGAGGAGGTCCAAGGTACCCCGTCAGTTGGCAACCTTCCAAGCCACGGCTTTTAGCGCACCGTGATAGCTTCAAGCGCGTCAGATTGATTATAGTGAGGAAAATGCGCTGAGTCGTCGACCTCACTCTCCCTTCCCATTCCCACACCCCAGCCACTGTCCGAGCCGGTCAGTAGACTGGAGTGGGGAATGGGCGCGGTGGCTGACATGGTCGACTGACCATGCCTGCGCGCGCCACAGCACGACCTGGCCCCCCATACACACAAACACCAGGATTTCACACAACGGGGGTTCAACGGCGTGTCTCTCACTTGCGTGAGAGTGCCGTGGAAGGTGCTGTTGCAGCCCGTCCCCAGCCCACCAGTCCGCCACTCCACACAACACACACACACACAACGTGACGAACTGCGTGAACCGAGAGCGGGCCTCAATGAGCAACCTGCCTATCCACGACACTTGACGTGTCGGGATAGTCAGAATGTTGGGTTAGATGAAGTTTCACAATCATAGGGCGCGAGTTCTAATCAGCTTTGCACGGCAACTGTGTGCGAAGGCAAATCTGCAAATCTGCGGCTCAAGTAAGACTGGCAGGCGAGGGTTAATAAAGCACAAATGGAGTTCCTAGTCATCCTTGTGACTGTCGGTACTCCTGCTTCAGTATTTCTTTCGCATTGGCGATTGGCTTCCGAGTCATCCTTTATGTGATTCATTCCAGTTTAGAATAGCATTACCGACAAAGACAAGGGAGACTGGAATGGCCATTTCTGGCTTATTAGCCGTCGTCAACCAGCCATACCCAATCCCGAAGTGTGGAACAACTGGGGCTCGAACTCGCGACCTGTTAGCTAGAAGTCCACACCTCTAACCACTGAGTCACGAGTCCGTTGCCCTGTCGGTTTTCGATCGGGAATATACAATGGTAGGGGGCGATCACCGATCGTTCTTACGGAACTCACACGATCTTTTGTGCCTTACGGGCTCTCTCTCGAACATAACCAGCAGCCTCGGGTGTTCCACACTTGTGGTTTGGGTATGACTGGCCGACGACGGCCAATAGGCCAGAAATGGTCATTCAAGTCTCCCTTGTCTTTAGGAGCGAGGTGTGGGCGCAAGCCTTTAAACTCCCCATATGCTCGGATTACAAATAACAGTCAATAAACATGGAGAGATGAAATTAAAGGAAGCTTGATGATGTACATACGTGCGTTTCCACCAGAATTTTAGTTTCTCCTGATGGATTTTTGTCAGAACGGTGCGTGTAAGAGATATGAAACGGCGGGGTTTAGTATAATCATGTGACGCTCGAGGTTCTGCTTGTACACTTACACCTGGTGATACTACGATGTCCAATTATCGGAAATGCTCACCAAACGCGTTACGAGATGCACTCGTCCCGTGGTGCCTTGGGATTCAATTTCGAGTCCCGCCAGCGGCCACACAGCGGCGCAGAATAACATTAACGATAAACACAGGGGAGACTGGCATGGCCGTTTCTGGCTTTCTAGCTATCATCAGCCGGCTATTATCGACCCCAGGACCTGTTAGCTAGAAGTTCAACGCCCTACCGGCAGGACAACGAGTCAGTGGTTTAGTGGTTAGAGCCTCGGACTCCTGACCAGCAGGTCTTGGGATCCAGACCCGGGGGTTTCAAGATCTTGGGTTGGTGGCGGCTGGTTCATGACGGCTAGTAGGCCAGGATGGCCATTCCAGTCTCCCCTGTCTTTGTCGGTAACGTTATTCCGTCTCTCGGCAGAGCGTACCCCGCATTAAATGCCATTGTTTTAATAGATAATTTCGGTTTTCGGACTGTTCTGCCTTGACGAAGCACTTCAGCGAAGATGTGGTCAGGACAACTTTTGCCCATATTTTTGAATTTCGGGAGCCATTTCAAAGAAAATAGTGCAAATGGATAACCTTCTTGCAAATGAAGTCTGTGGCCTACTCGGTTCATTTGATTCTTTATCGATACTTTCGCGAAATTTACCAGCCTTTACACACCATTAAAGAAGATCTTGACATTACAGGTCTACTTGTGGTACAAAAAGCTTTTCGATGGATAAATGTCCAAGCAAAGCCCACAGAATGTGCGGGAAGTAATGAAACACTGGTCGAATTCTGCTAACTAATAGCCTATAGTATCAATTATAGTGTAAAATAATGTCAAGTTTCTCCATGCGGAATGTGTACTTACCAACCTTGACACACAAAGGAGACGGTAAGCCTGGTCACAGAGATAAACGCCAATCCGGCAAATCTCAAGGACATCAAAGTGGACACCCAGACCGACCGGTGTTTTATGAAATCTAAAAACCTCATCTCGGCAGAATGTATCATGTCGACATTCTTCATAAGTCTGGTGTCTCTCTGTGTGGCGATCTGGACGACTGATTGCCTCAAGTTCATGATCGAAGGCTAATTAAAAACTGTAACCTCAGAAAGTCAAATCGACTAACGTATAAAAGCCTAGCGTCTGACATAGACAGGCATCGACGGTCTCCCTCGATACCTGTCTGAAGCTCCACTTTCATACACCAGCAATTAGGGTGCGGTGGAATTTGTGACCGAATGTGGACAAGCCTTCGGGGTCCCAGCATCCTATTGGGCTACTGCAACAGAGACGTCCATAGCGGCTCGTCTTAATCTGCGGTTCGATCGGAATAAGCACTCGTTAAAGTTTGATGACAATGTCACGGCTGCTTTTGCCGTAGGCTCTGGAAAATGTTTAATCCGATTCACCATGGCGATGGAAACAGACAATCGGCCGCCCTTTTTTAACATCCTTTTACTTCAGAGTGTAATCATAGAGTTACAGGCCAATAGTTTGACCATCGGTGACGGGCAGGTGTCCAACTGTCTCTAATAGTAGATGCGGCAGTAAATTGTACGCGAATTAGGTTATAGCGATGCAGATTCACCTAATGCTTCTCACGCCCATCTAGTTCTGACAGAATGACAAGGCCATGGTTACAGGGGAGGGGGGGGGGGCATGAACGCAGAGACTGTCAAACGCAAGCAGCCCGTTGACGCGTCACAGGCGACCTGGTGATTACCTTTACTCTAGCCACGTTTCACTAAGGTTTCACTACCTCAGGTGAATGAAGATGCCATAAAGGCCGCGTTACGAAGAAGAAGAAGAAGAAAAAGAAGAAGACGAAGAAGAAGAAGAAGAAGAAGAAGAAGAAGAAGAAGAAGAAAAGAAGAAGAGGATGATGAAGAAGAAGAAGAAGTAGTAGTAGTAGTAGTAGTAGTAGTAGTAGTAGTAGTAGTAGTAGTAGTAGTAGTAGTAGTAGTAGTAGTAGTAGTATAAGAAGAAGAATAGGAAGAAGAAGAAGAAGAATAGGAAGAAGAGGATTAAGAAGAAGAAGAAGAAGAAGAAGAAGAGGAAGAAGAGGAAGAAGAAGAAGAGGATGAAGAAGAAGAAGAAGAAGAAGAAGAAGAAGAAGAAGAGGATGAAGAAGAAGAAGAAGAGGATGAAGAAGAAGAAGAAGAAGAAGAAGAAGAAGAAGAAGAAGAAGAAGAAGAAGGCCTTATGGCCTGGCCCTCAGTACTACGCAACAGAACCGAGTTATCCGGTCGACTGGTTATCTTTGCCACTGTCACTGCTGATATTAGCTCCAGGTGTGACATACTGCTTGCTCAAATAGGGAACAATTCTAGCTTTATGTGATACTAATCGAGATAGCGGAGATTCTCCCTTTGTCCACTCCACTATTATGTAAGCGATCGTGACGCTGATGACGTGGAGTTGGGACTCACGGTTTGTTGTTACTTCCTCTGGCCTGATGCAGCGAGGTACGGCGAAGTGTTTGAGGCTAGGTACTGTGTTTGACCACTTCTTCCGCAGTGCTCGCTTTTCGCTCTTCATCCCAATCCACTTTGCGTATACCTAAATTCTGCAAGACCCTTTTGTAACTGTTTCCACCGGGACAACGCAACCCATCGGATTGAATAAAGACAAATGATGGGAAGGTGCGCGCCTTCTACTGAATGACTTGGTCATAGGACATATGGGGAATCGAAATGCACCGCTCTCAAGGTCGCAACTCACTCAATTTGCTTGTTACATTGGATGACTCAGGCGATCTAGCTGCATAGGCGAAATGTTCTGTTTAGATCCGGGTACGGACGCCACAGAACTGACCTCGCTCATTTTCTATTTTTGCAGCTTGGAACTTACTTTACTCAGCACTGATTTTAACTGCTTCGAAAACCTGGGTGCCTCGTCCTCATCTCGCAAAACTGATCAGACAATCGCCCGATCGATAACATCTTCATCCTAGTTTTCTGCATTATCAACGATAGCTCGATTAAGCGTTAATGTCACTATAGACAAATGTACCGTCATTCGATATTATTTCTGGGATTGCGACAAATTACCATTTATCCACCTGTGAAAGCTTAAAATATCAAGGTCTTTCTTGGGCACTTGCATTTGATGAAACATCGTTTCGATGTTAGCGATGATAGCAAACTTCTCCTGTCTAGATCAGAATTATCCCAAATGGCGAATTGGTCTTATCAGGTCAGGAGAGTAATTGATCGTTTAGGGGGTATGATGAAGTGGCGCTCACTGATACAGTTACTGGACATGCTCGTCCCGTTGTGACTTGGAGCTCAGTCTAGAACCCTAGTAGACAGTCGCATAGTGACTAGTAACATATGCATATGACGCAGTACCGTCGAACACAAAGGAGACCGGAATGGCCATTTCTGGCTTAATAGCCGTATTCAGACAGTCATACCCAATCCCAAGTGTGAACCTCCAGGGATTCAAACCCGGGATCTTGGGCCACTGAGTCGAACGCTCTACGGATGAGCGGCGAGATCGTTTTCCAGGCGGTTCACACTTAGGTTTAGGTATGACTAACTGATGACGGCTAGTAAGCCAGAAATGACCGTTCCGGTCACTCTCGTCCTTGTCGGCGTAACCACTGAATTTGGCCGAACACCACGCGCACCTTGTCAGACGTGGCTGGGCAGACAACGGGATGACGTGAAAGCCAGCAAAAGTAGCCCTCGACTTGAACTTCCTCAGCACACCCAAGCTCGAATTTGTCGCGCACGCTCTTGCAACAGGCCTTCTGATCTGAGGAAACGTTCAGTGAGCAGGAGGGGACGCCGTAAGGCGTATAGTTTATTATTCGGGAGGATTGGCGGGTAGGTTTTTCAAGGTAAGGCTAACATATAATGGCCGTCCCAGAAGCAAAGGGATAGGTTCGCAGTCTCCAACGCACTGCGATCGCAGGCAAACAGACCTCTGTCAGTGGTTGGTCACTCGAAGGTTGGATCCCATTGGTAGAACCTCTCCAGATCCTTTTAGAACTCAAAAATCTTCGAGCAGCAGATCTCTTTGTACTTCCTGGAAGATGAGGGTACAGGTTCTATCATCGTCCAACCCATGGTCGTCTGAATAACATATGGTTTGCCGGTCTTATCTAAGCGTTATCCCTGCACCCAATGTGATCCTGGCGCATCGCATTCCAGCCACAATCCGACTTCTATATTTTCGCGTAGTTCGAAGTTGATCGTATTCAAGTCAGATTACACTGAAGCTAAATCAATAAAATTCAGAATTTCCGTCGAAAATCTGAACTTAACGTTTTGGTAGTTGTGAATGCTACTCTACGTTGCATTCAGACAACTCAAAATTATCATTCGACCTATCAGGTCGTTCTCTAGCGATCGCCCAAACCTTGCATAAACCTAATAGTGGAACGTAAATGCGAATAATGTGTGGCATTTGCAAAATATCGGCGAAAAAATCGCTCTCTGCATCCGCACTGTGAAAATTTTTAATATGGGTCAAGGTTAACGCATACAAAATGATCTGTTGAATTCACGTTAGTAGTATGTTTACAGTCATTTCAGTAATCCGTTAGATCGGGCTTCGGCAGTTCGGGTTGCCTATTAGCAGGTGATTATCCAGATGTGTCTTCAACGCATTCACGATGGGGGAATTAACAAAATACGTCGACAAAGAATTCCATTGGCGAATGACCCACTGCGATAAAAAAGAGGAACGCTGATTTGTGTGGGCCAGTTTCTTTTTAGGCTGGTAATCGTGTTGTCTGTGAATAGTCTTTGGTGTCATTTCAAAAAGAGTTTCCCAGTCGACAACCAGCTCAAGTCCTCTTAGCGACTGGAACGTTGCTATGAGGGCACTTTTTTCCTGCCTGTAGTGGAGAAGATAGAGATTCAAAGCCATCAGTTGCTGCTCGTACGTAAAATTTTTGAGTTCATGAACAGCTGTACACCTTCAAGAACATCTATATCCTTCCGAAGCCACGGCCGTCAAGCCCCTATCGCATATTCCAGATGCGGCCGCACAAATGCCTCATTTACCTTGTCAAAGACTCCACATTCAAGTTAATAAGCGTTCTTTGCATCGCACTCTGACAATTATGGCGGACTGGCTTCATCGATCTGCTCGACCACACTCGAATAATTTCTTTAATATTCCCTAGATTTTCTCGATGCAATCCTAGTTTATATACCCGAAAAGATACCCGCGGTCGGGAGCTGGGTTAGAAGGCAGCTGTGCCATGCAACGACAGAATACCAGCAAAACACGTATCTAAGCTTTTAACGCCTGTGCTGTCAGTGTGGCTAAATCACACAGCATTGACGGGCGGAATGCTACGTAGGTTTTTCAGTCGTTTAATTCTTCCATCGGTGCGCGCGCGCAGGGTTACGTCAATACCAGCCGCCTCTGGCATACGCGGTCACTAAGACGTTCTCAGTAGTTCCCTGCCTGACTCATGTGCTTGAACAAACATGGCCCACAAGAGTACATTTCCCGGGTTGATCTTGCTAGTTTTATTGCTCCCTCCAGCATAGCCCGCATCCCCAATACTGGCGGCCTATTGATCTACTCTGAGGGGGATAGCAAACATGGGTTTCTAACCACAAGAACAGCAGCCGAAGTGCGAGAGCATAGTCCCCACAAGAAGGGGTTCTCTGAAATGATCTCTCGACTGCAGAAACCTTCAAGAGCCTGGCGTCAGACTACAATTTCAACTTACAACCGACTGCTTCTGCTGGCTGAAGCCTGACATTGTTCCAAAATTCTTTCGCACTGAGATTCGTTAGGAAAACCGAAATAGAACTGCAAACTAGCCCCTAGAAATATGTGATCGTCCTACAGAGGCTGGATCTCACCCCTCACAGGATACCGGATATCCTGGTCATATCTCCGACTTCCGTAGTCACCATTCCATGCCGAGGGCAGCCCTAAGCTCGGACGATCCTCGGGCTTCAGTTAGGGAAAACGACGCGTCGACCTCATTAACACTTAACGGGTCTTACGTCACAACCGTCACGGAGACTAGGACAGAAGAGTCGTGGTGAGTTCAGACAGAGCATGACCGAAGTCAGCCTAGGACGAGCCAACTACCAGTTTACCCAACGGGGTCCAGACGATGCGCTTCCCCAACATGTGCTGACGCACCACTACGTCTGGTCATCGCAAACGCAGCCACATAATCGGAAATTCAAGGGTGCCTTTGGAAACTTCTGCAGAAATCAGTTCCGTTTTTTTCCAGCACAGGCATTGGCGACGAGCGGTAGGTCCGGCTGTTTGGACAGACTGAGGGTTAATACCCGCGACTACGCGAAGAAAAACGAATTATGAATACCACTCAGAGACCACGATTTAATGTAAGAAGGCTTTGAAAATCAAATAAAAATATGTTTCAGTTAAGTGGTACCTGTTCATATGTTTTACGCGGGTGGTTCGAAGATACCCAACAACGGTATAAAGTACTTAAGCAAATAAGTCAATATGAAATTACATCGTATGTCTACCAGCTCTTAAGTTTCTACCTGGACACTGGCACAGTGCTTTCAATGATCTATGCAAAAACAGCAAACTGAGAAAATGAAGACATGCAAAAGTATGCGACTGTAAAAGTGTGATTTTGACACCAACGTCCTCAGTTGGAAGTGTGCTACCGTGTCAGTCCGCTCCCGTGGTGAGCTGCGCGGCCGCTTACCGTAACGTCCTCTGTCCGCCCAACGCTCCTTGTCAATCGATGACTTAAGCCGCGTGAAACCGGCACGGCGAGAGTTCGATGCAAGTCAACGCTGCCCCCCCCCCCCCGTTGATTGGCTGCAGACGGACAAAGCCCAAGCGCACGCACGCGTCTCGCGCCGATGCCAACATCGAGGGCCCTCGCTCGACCGATGAGACGAGGATCCTCGCTGTCTCTGTCCGCCGAGCGGTGTGTACGCTACCCTGTCCCCTGGAAAGCTTGTCCAATAACGCCCTCCTCCTGGACTTCTGATTTGGGAAATCATCGCGTTAACGAACACCACGTCTCGATACTACTGCACCCTTGTGTGTGAAACACGACACTCAACACTGGGTGCCTATTCGTGAACTGACCGTAACTAAACTCATGTGCACTTTGCCTGATCTTTACCGAACTGTGCATACGACTCGGAGTATCAGGTCGGGCCATAATAAATTAACTTTATATCGAAGATCCAGCCGTTCATGGTCTGTATTTATGCTGCCAAAAGGGTGCAGATTCCGCCCACGAGGTTCATCAAGCATCTAAAGAAGAACGGACAACTACAACAACAAAATGGCCGTCCGAGTTCGTGGCGAGGTCTTATGTGCCGACAAGCAGACGAGATTACGAAAATAAGTGGGAAAAATCAAATATGTTTTTGAACACAATATATTTTGTAAAAGTGGGGAGGGTAGGAGAAATCGTGAGATAGCCTAGCGGGCTTTCCTAAAATGGGAAAAAATAAAATAAAGTGAGCAGACAAAAGTACAAGCGCAATTAACTACCATGGCAAATGTTTCACTACTCTTCCCGGTCGGAAGGAGACGTCGCCGTAAAGCAAGTGGTGAATGTTTTATGCTTAAATAACTGGGCAAATAAAGTTTCAAGAAGAAAAATATTCAGAAGAAGATGGAAACTTGTATGCTGCACAATGGTCCAGGACTACAAGGTATGCTCCTTTGAGTAGCTCTGCGCATACAGAACGATAGGCAGATATAAAGTCGGCCGCTAGGCAAAACCGTTCTTAATATCGACTGGTGATCAAACCAGACTCTTTATTGCGCGTTCAATGTGGTCTGTGCCACTTTGTCATCCATCTCCTTCAACTATGCTAGTGGATAGATTCTGTGGAGGACCGTCCCCAAAACGCCATTCGACCGACCTCGACTACGTTGTCCGGTTGGCGTTAGGGGTTGACAACCTTTAGAATATGGTATTGTGGATGAACGCGATCGCTAAATCAGTTGATTTTCCCATCAACATTGCGCAAATTGAAGTATTCTTCAGTTCCATCTCTAAATGGCAGACAGCAACCTCCGGCGATTCATGGTTGAGAGCCTTAAGAAGGGCATAGTTTCAAATACTCCGAAGTCAAAGGGTTGCCAAGAGGACGGAGTAAGAACATCTCACCTGAATCGGTGTGGTTGCAGGGTTTTTCAAACTTTCGATGATGTCTATAAACTAGCCGAGATATTCTAGTCACTACTAAGATCCGAGCGTACCGAGCACCCGCATGCAACAGACCGTGTATTTCCCGCGGCGACAATCACATTTGAACATCTAGTCGACGGGCTCGAAAACGGCGTTCGTGAGTCCGGAAACAGTAGGTAATTCATGGTAGACCTTTTCAGCCGACACTGTGGGTGGAGGAGTATGGCACACGGTTAGTTCGAAATCTCATGAGATCAACGTTGAGAACGTCATCGGAGCGTGGGGAGGCGGTGATGGAACTGTGAATGTTGGCCGTTCGATATCTAGATTACACCGGCACACGTCAAAAATGGCCTCGTTGCTGACCATAAAGGCACAGTCCGAATGTTCCAATGCGGAGTTCGTGCAAAGTGTAGCGTTGTAGGGTTCAACGCTAACAATTTAATGATGGCGCGACGCTACTACCGATATTTAAGTAACATCTCTTTGTGTAATTTACTAATTTTGGACCACGGTGAACACCCCTGCTCGCCAATAGAAGCGAAGAGACGAGACCCAGGAAGCAGTGGTGAAGAACGACACACGATCGCTAAGACAAGATCTTTATGAGCCTGACGTTTCGGATTCCCGCTCGAACCCATCATCAGAGACAAAAAACAGATACGGGTGATCCATGCACAAGGGACTGCAGTATTTATAGGATGCAGTCGCCATGCTATCACATTCTTATGAATATTCACGGCTCTCGCACTTCATCAGGGATCGTTGCACTTGGTGTGAGAACTGTTTTATGGCCGACACTGGCGTCGTTAATCGCTTCAATTTCATCACGTGCGTTGGATGTTGGCGTGATGATTGCTCGACTATCTGACGCACCGACCCTGGTGTTGGGAAAAGTGTTCACCTGTGCGCTTCCCGCGTGGCTAAATACTCCGCCTAGGCGAAGTCTCAGCACCGAATATGGAAGGGGAAGATCATCGCACTTGTTAATAGACTGGGGGTCAGTAAACCATGATTCAAGTAGCTCCCGGCTCACGCGGTTGTCACCTCTTGCGAGAATTTCGGCATCGTCGAATTTGAATGTGTGGCCGGATCTCGTCGAATGAGCCGCAACTTCAGAGCTTGCGTCATTTCTCCGCATTGCGGCGTGTTCGGCCATTCGCGTTCAGAATTGCCTCCCAATTTCCCAGACGTAGTTGCTTTGTCCGCAACTGCACCAGATCCGATAAACGACTCCATACGTTTCTTGTCATGGCAGCTGGTCTTTCGGTTTCATTACCTGACGCTCGATGGTTGCCTCCGGTCTGCAGACCTTGGGTATGAACCACCCCTATCTGCTTTTTTCTCTGATGATGGGTTCGTGCAGGAATCCGAAACGTCAGGCGAATAAAGCACTTGTCCCAGCGATCGGATCTCCTTCACGACCCCTGCTCGCATTCAACAAGATGCTTTCAGACTACAAATCGTATAATTTTCCTGTAGCTTAGGTGTGCTTCAAATATCTACTATATTAATCAACAAACCGAGTTCATTCGCCTTCAAATACTGTTAACGCATGAAACACTGTGCTCAGCTGTACAGTTTTTGATTTTCCTTTGTATTTCGTTCATGTTACCCCCTTGCCACTTTTTCTATATACCTCATCTGCTACTTCAAAGGTACACACCCACTTTCCCTCAAACTGAACTCAACTGAACAATTGCAGTTGAAATCAGTGCTGGCGTGCATATTGCTGACTCGAGGTTAGATTTCTTTTCCTAGTCAATACTGAGGCGCCCCATCATGAAGAAGCCTTGAATACCGACGTACTGAACAGCCAGTTTTCGGATCTTCTCCAGGACAGATAAGGTTTATCCTATACGATTGCGAATGGGTTGCCTGCTTGAGAGACGACCGACAACTACCAGCTCCCATCTGACTCTCTTCAAATGTAACAGTTCGTAATACCTGCAATAACATCGAGAGAAAATTTCGACCCACCCAACACACATGACTCACAGCATCGGCCCTATTATTACCGTGACGATAGCCTAAGTCGGCAGCAGCTACTCAGGGATGGAGGACTTCGGACTAAAACCAACAGGAACGCAGTCCGCAATGTCGCTAAGGATGTTCTTGGGTCTTCGCTAGTCTGTCTTCGTGGGTGGGGGGGCAGAGACAGGATCCGTCACCCGCTAGATCTGCTGCCGCAACACCACCGAAACCGTCTGAGATCAGGCATGATCATGGCCCTACCAGATTTAGTACAATTACAGCGGAAGCTGTACTCAGATCGCTTACAAGCAACGCCACACAAAGAGGAGTTGCGAACAAGAGCTGCCTCCCATACTAAGACACACCGTCCTTTCTGGACGAGGTGAAATTCCATGGCACATCTTCAGCCACCTCAGTGAAACCAAGCTTCGTGAGTCTTATTTGGTCCATCTTTTGGAAGGCAAGCGACTTAAGCTTCTTGATTTCACTAGTAAATTTTAATTGCGGTCTTGGCTAGTGTCCTAATACCGATGACAATATGCATCATATAATAATAACGATGATAGTAATAATAAACAAAGTACGCTTCTAATGCACCAAACAGAAAACATCGTACGTGCGTTCCGATTCGATATAACTAATCATCGCCTCAACTAAAGGATAGAAATCACCCATGGGGTTACGGAACAACGTCGTAGGGGTTCAATCTAGAGCCCTAGCGATACCAACAAAGACAAGGTTGACCAGGATGGTCATTTCCGGCTTTTCAACTGCCGTCGCGGCCAGCCATACCTAACCCCTGGCTTTTTTAAATTGTGACTCGGACATGGGGATCTTAGGTCATCGAGCGTTTTTTACGTCCAACACTTCCATTGAGCCATGGGTTCGTTGCTCTGTCGGTTGCGATCGGGAATATCAACTAACGGCACTCCTTTTCAGCACGTACTACTGGTTGCTACGCGACTGCCCGTGAAAGCTGTAGATGGAGTTTAAGGGTGTAGCGAGACGAGCAAGTTCCGTAACCCAATCGGTGAACCGCCTTCCTATGATAGTTAATATTCTCGGCCCCACACAACCGGACAACGTGCCCATAGCTCAATGGTAGAGTCTCGCACTTAAAACGCTCGATGGGCAAAATCTGGGGTAGGCATCAAAAACAGAAACGTGAGGTCAGGTAGTGCTGGTGGACGACGGCTTATAAGCCAGAAACGATCATTCTAGTTTCCCTTGTCCGGTCAGTACCCCTCACGATGCAACTCAGTCCACGGACTTAGCCAGAAGCTGAGCGCCTGACCGAACAGTCGAGGGTGGAGAGTGACACCGCTGTGTGGAGAAAACCTGGCTAACAATTCAAAAAGCCTACCAGTCGAGGATAAACACTACCAAAGCTAAACACCTGTACAAACACCTGAGGCAACACAACGACGGAAGAGCTTGAGTGCAAGTCAGAGTAAGACGTCTCCTATCGGCGGATAAGTTGAGTGAGCAAACCATATCTCGTGGACAATTTCAAATCCCAATCATTCTATATACCAAAACAGTGAATGAGCTGCATTATTTTCGATCGGAAACGCTGATGCCCTAGAGAGTCTAGTAGAAGGAAGATAACATCTAGTAATTCTGTCTCCTGGTCAATTCGCCACGTTTTGCCCGAACGCAGTGTTAAACGCTATACGAATCATTCGGAGCCCGACGCGTATGATCTTGGAAGACCACACGCCCCGGTAATGAAGCCTTTCCTCAACAGAAAGTTCGAAGAAATGTGATCTCACCAGATTGGCTTCTTACGGGCCTTCTTCTGTCCAGGTTTCTTACGTTCACTGAAACGGTCGTCCTGAGTAAGAAGACCGGCAGCACGGAGTCGGTTGGCTCCTAGGTCTCCTGGCAGGAAGCAAGCCAATGCCCTTGAGATGGCCAATCGGAGGGCATTGGCCTTGGAACTGGAGCCGGTCTCGGTGTCCGCAATCTTCGCAGTAATATCAACAGTGCCCAGCATACCTGGAATGCAGCAGAGAAGATAGCGCAGGGTGGAGTCGCCACAGTTCACCAAAAGGTCTAAATGCGTGACTCAGAAGCTGGTAATCGAGCTCAGACAAACCGGCACAGACGACCCAGAACATCTGGTGGATAGGCTAAAACCCAGTAAGATCTCTCGCAATCGAGTCACACGGTAGCTTCCGAAGGATGGTAAATCGAGCACAGTGTTCAAACCCACCGTGAAGTGGTTCTTTCGCCAACTTCAAATAACGGAGCATTGACGCTGGAAATACGGCACTAATATTTCAGTTATTTCACCAAATTTTCGAAAAGACTTGTTCGCCACAAAATGTTTCTCGTGGTTAGATATGATGTTCGAGTTAGACGGGAAAAGTAACCTGACGTCTATCCACTAAGCTAGCCAATTACAAAATGTGGCTTTCTCACAAAACTTACCCTTTACTCGAACCTCAACTTGGGGTTTTAACGGTAATTTTATGGCTGTTTTTTAGGTTTTGGGAGATTTTTGTCTGCAATAAGATATACGCAGTAAGCAAACCTGAACGTAGGCCGAACTGTAAAAGAGGGCGACAGGGAGACTATTTAAACAGTGATAGTTTGACCGTCTCATCCGACGATGTCCACCGTTTGCTCCACTGCAAGGTGAGAGCAGGGACGGTGACTTGCGCGTAAAGTAGTTTATAGTGGAAGGAGACTTGCGCAGCCCCCACCGCACTCCCCCCTCCTCCCCACCTGGACCCGGTGTCAGGATAGGGTCAAGGTGGCAAGGCGCGGTCGAACCCGCACTTCGGCGCTCCACACCCCCCCCCCCTCTCCCCGGTCCACAACAAACACTTGACCAGAATTTTGACCAACAACAACAGAAAAGACGTGGATGCCTAGGCAGTCATGCACACGACCTGTATACCCAGTGGGTGCGCAAACCGGGTACGGGAGAACAGCCAGTATACACCGGGCTGCAAAGGCTACAAGATACCATACTAGCAGCACAGGAACTCGCTAAAAGACCAGACACGCGTTTTTTCGATATTCTGCCGTTACATGGCACAGCTGCAAGGGGTTCGGCTTTTCAGTAGGCTCCCCAGCATTCCCCGTCTGCTTTCTGGTGGATACCCCAGTTTAAAATTGCTGCTTTTTGATTTCCTCAGAAATTAACTGCGAACTTGGAGTGGTTCAGCATACACTAAGGTCTGTAGGCGCAGACCGAGCTCTGATGTAACCCTAAAAATACTACTGGCTGCCTGTCAGTAGTTAATCAATATTACGCGGTTATCCCGTTGTGCCTGATAAACCAGCCCAAATATTCATACACTAGGTTACAGTAAATTCCGGCTAGACTGACGGGCCGACAAGCGTAGGCATTTTCTCGAACCGCTGTCTTCCATTCGGATGGCAGACTCCCTAATTCGGATGACGAATGGAAGATATCCGCTAGTGATTTGGAGAGTTCATTTGCCAATTCTCTCACAAACTTGGCCAGTATAATGTCCGGCCCCGATGACTTTGTCGCTCTGAGATTTTGCAGCTCTCTTTCCATGACAGATGTCGGAAAGAGTATATACTTAAGCCGGGCACCAGCGTTTACAACAGCACTCAGTTCCCCTAGTGAATACTGCGGTAAAGAACTGATCCAAGTGTTCAGCTTTCTCGCCGCTTCCAACTACTCCCACACGACTAGCATCCTTAAGTACTGCGACTGAGCCCTTGTTTTTCAGGATGGTGGATGATGGGTTATCCGCAGGTTCTGTGAAAACTCCAGACGAGACAGGAGCAACGACAGTAGGTCTTCAAATAAAACTAACCAGTCAGCTGGAGAGGGAACATCAGTTGCTCGCGGTTTCCCAACTCGGGGAAGAATTCCAGAAGTCGTTTTTCGTTAACGCTGAACTTTCCTGTCCCCGGATGAAAGAGACGAACCTCCGCAAATGCGTGTTTCTTCTGGCCGAAGGCGTCAACAAACTTTTGGTTCAAGTCAGGATCCAGTTGGGGCTAAGTGTAAAAAAATGAAGGACGGTCAGGATTTTAGCAATAAGCTCGCTAAAATAAATCCGGTTTTAGGTGGGTAAATGAGGAGATTTGCTAACGATTCCTATGGGTAGGCACGCAAAACTTCCGTGGAAACAATCGCAGTGAGGACTTTTTGAGCCTAGCCTAGAAAGGCGGTCAATGGCCGAATTAGTTTAGATCAGGCCGGCACATCAGTGTCAAACAACAGTTCCTATGAGGAACGAATGCCAATTGGAGACTACTACGTCTCGTCTGCAAAGCATACAGAAATATTAAAAACATGTGGTTGATTGTCTATTTGGAGAATAATGGCTGCACACAGAGGACATGGTAAGTAAGCTATCCTCTTAATTCAGGTAGATGTTAAGACTGTCTGGACGTCAGTTACAGCGACAGAAAAAACGTTCCACTCCTACAAAACCTGCTACTCCAAAAGATTCAACCGCGATGCTGACGTCGAGTCAGGGCCTTTCAGCAGTTAGATGAGGTCGCTCTATTTTGCCAGCAACGGAGAGAAAACATAGTTCAGACGGACATTTGTTTTGAGGAAGAAGACAGGCTCATCGGAACGGGTTTATTTGGGTGCCGATGTTTCGAAGAGCTCAGTCGGCTCCTCATCGTCAAAGCGTAAAATGCACTTAATCGAGCAGGAAGTGAAGTAGTATGTCACTTTGGTCGGCCTCATGCTGACCAACTCTCCTCTCCTTCGGCTGCCTCGCCCTCTCAGAGGATGGTTGGCGGGCCTTTTATTTACGTGCTTTGTAATTCGCCGCTTCGTATGGGGGGGGAGGAGGATTGAACATCTGTCCGGTGGTCGGTCTGACGGCTCTCCTTCTTCCTCGCCGAGTAAACTCGCCGCCGGACTGTCTCTGTATGGCTTTCTTAAGACCACTGTGGTTGGTTGTTCCTCAGCTCTATGACCATGACGACTTAGGACTTTGTAGGCTGAAGGAAGTTCCAGATGCTCATTGATTGAGTTGGTATCGGAGTAGAACACCTCGGATATTAGCCGCTCTGCTTTTGTATTGTCCTGGCCTAAGATGGTAACCCCCCGGAGATCGAAAGTATGCCCACTTTCTCAAACCTGCATTGCTATTTGGGAGTTTGGGCCTAGCCCGAGTCGCGATTTGTGCTCTTGTAAACGGGTCTGCGATTCCCGCCCGGTTTCCTTAACATAACTGCAGTCGTTCTCATTGCAACTTATGTTGCAGACAACAGCTGAGGTTTTAGCGGGTGGCACTGTGTCTTTAGGTTGCATCAGACGGAGCCGAATTGTTGCCTTGGGTCGACTGGCAATGCCTGCTCTGGCGGGTTGTAACAGTCTAGAGACCACTTTGGACACCTCATTGGCATAGAGAATGGACCTCCAGACTTCGGGTTGCTGCTCATTTCGCTGTTGACTGTGCGCTCGGCGCCTGGTTCTCTCGATAAAATGTCTGGGATAACCACTAGCTGCAGAGGTTCTGAGGGTAAAGTTGTTCGGCCCTTTAGTCTTCTGGCGTGCTGCAGTGTTTCAATTCTTTGAAATAGAGTGCGGACACAGCTGTGTTTGTGAAACGGAGGATGATGGCTTTTTAAGTGCAGGATTTGCCTCGTGTCGGTGGCTTTTCTGAAGACCGTAATTTGCAGTTGTCCAGTTGTACACGGCCGCACAAGCACGTCAAGGAAGACCAGTTGGCTGTTTGTTTCTGCTTCCATCGTGAATTGGATATCCGGGTCGACCGAGTTCAGCAGCTCCTTCAGATGCTCAGTGTCAGACACCTGTTTTGGTCATTCAAAAAACTTCAGTTTGTAGTTATGACTACAGGTTTACAAAAGCACGTTCTATAACCCTTCATTGACCCAAGTGCACATGTCGAGGACTGCGATGCACTATGTAAGACATCTTTCATGAAGATGGCAAGATCCTTCTGACAGAACCGGCCACAGAACCGGGTACGGGAAAAGAGCCAGCACACACCGGGCTGCAAGACACCATACTAACAGCACAGGAGCTCTCTAAAAGGCCAGACACGTGTTTCGTCGATATTCTGCCGCTACATGGCACAGCTGCCATGGGTTCGGCTTTTCAGTGGGTTCCCCAGAATTTTCCGAAGTCCCGAAGTCTGTCCTCGTCTCTGTCTTGCGGAATCTAAATGCCAAAGACTGGACCTGCTGCACCATTGTCCACTCCGTTAGTAGGGTGTGCGTGTCAATTTTGTCCTTGATAATAGTCCGGAGATTCAGATTATTTGAAAAAAAGCGCTACATTTGACTTGGGGATATCCACTAAACAAATTGTAAATAGCGTAAAGATGAGCGCCCCCTCAGAGGACCCTTTAAAAGGCCACTTTTCATAGGAGTCCGTCACCGTCGATGTCCATCACTTGCCACAACTCTTCGTTGTCTTCCTTAAACGAACACTAAATGCCTTCGTCCACTCATCTGATGTGGTGGAGCAACTTATCAAACAGAGCCGGTTTTGAAGAGGGTCAAACTAATGGCTTTTACCTAAAATCGTGAACCGACTCTGTGAATCGGAAAGCTGTCGATTCCCAGCTGTCTAACGGCCCACTGCAATCAAGTGACAGCTGAAGTATGATGGCGACTAGCTCTTCGATAGGATCTCTCAGTAGTAGTGCTGGGATCTCGTCTGGTGTCTGCGATCTATCTGAACTGGCATTCCGTACTCCGGTCCTCAAGTTAAATTCGGTATGTTCAGGTGTGCAAATGGGTTGACTATGCCCGGCTTCCTTGGATGCCTATTGTCGCTCCTGGTTCCATGGTAAAAAACACACTTGGGCGGAGCTCCAGTTTTCCGAGGCCCAGTAGTCACAGTAAAAATCTGTTTGTCTTTCACTGTAGCCCAAATATTCTTGGTTTTTATGATTTTCTTGTCGGGTTTACACATAGCACAATATAGAGGTTGTGTAAGAAAGACGCTCGCATCCGTTGCAGAAAATTTGCCTGCCAGTCGTACATGATAAGCACCCGGTTACAGTTTATTTCTAGAAACACTTCTCATACCTCTTTGGGTAGTCGTCTTTTTTGCTGTATGTCTTCTCGGTCGGATCTTATTTCGTAGTCGCACCTCCAGGAGACAATCCCCAGCCGCCTGTCATAGGAGACCGGTGGTAATGGGGGGGGGTTAACACCAACCCCTAACCCTAATCCCTAACACTAACCCCCAACCCCTTACAGGTGCGGTTACGAAATAAGATCTTACCGTCCTCTCAACAGATTCCGCCAATGTACTGCTTTAGTTCCTCTCGTGCTCTTGTTGGACAGCTGGCATGCTGAATACATCCGTCCAGAGCCCTGTTGAAGATCATCTGATCGTCCAAGAGTTACACGCATTCTGAGACGTCTGTATAGACGCAACTGGTAAATCTGTGGAAGAGGGCGATAACTCTTGCTTGAATGGTCCACAAATGCCTTGCTGATGGCAACGACTCGTCAGGAAATCCAGAATTCACCCTTTAAGCAGTATGCGCATTCAGTAACGAACGTGCGAAAAGAGTAATTGGACATTTGGTGGTCCTGAAGCCTACTGGTGTCGTAGGTTTCCCATACACTGTCATACGTAACTGACTCGAGTTATTTTAATTACCAAACAGCATCACCTTGACGAAAAGTACGCCAAAGTGAAGTGCTTTGTTAACGTACACAAGGTAAGAACATACAACCTACCCCGAAACTGCCAACAGTGTTACTTTTTAAGTCTATTCGTCTTAGTTTGCCATTACGAACTAACTGTTTAAATTGAAATCATCGCGAATAAAACTATTGATTAATTTAAGACATCACAGTTAATGGTACGGAAGGTGTTTACAAGATTAAGAGTGACTGCAAAGATAAGTAGAAGGCTTACCTCAGGGAAGACTTCCTTCGCGGCGTCAGCCTGGACGGAGGTCCGGTAGGACATGATGAACTCCTCAGCGTGCCACGAGAGTGGGTGTTTCACAAGAGTCTCCATGACATTCAGCCAATTTGCGTACTGAAAAACAACATTGAGACTCGTGGATGTACAACAAAAGTAGTGCAGGACAAGAAAAGGCAAGTCCACATACAGTCGGCGTGCTACCTCATGAAGTGTTAGTCGAAATTCTGAGATATGTTTTTGATTCGAAAAAGATGACTTAGGCAGAGCCGTGATACTAATTATCGTGTAGCACGATCCTAAGAGATTTCAGTGAGATTTCAATGGGCTTCTTTCCGGTCCCATTTATTTTAGATGCTCTTCTAAATTCGAATATATTTTAGAGAAAACATACACAAAAATACTCTTTCTTGTGCTCATTTGGTAGAAAATTACGTGTTTAAATTTTTATACTTGAAGAGGGAGTATGTATTAGTTTTTAAAACTTTTTAAATTCCCGAATAATTCTTTGCACTCAGGGCTCCCAAACTATAAGCTGTATAACTTGAGTCAAAAGAATATCACACATGTTACTATGCTGTTAGGAAGACGTCATATGGATATTTATATGCACCAGTGGTATACTTTGTAAGTGGCATTAATAGATGTTCAGATGCGGTGCTGTATGAATGGACACTTCGCGGTCTAAAAAATTCATAGTTAAAAACTTTTTAAAGCCAAAATATATTCTCTTTAAGTATGAAATTTAAGAAGACATAATTTCCTACCAAATGTGCGCAAGAAAAAATATTTTTGTGCACGTCTTCTCTAAAATATATTTGAATATATAAAGACGTGTAAAATCAATGGGGACGTCCCGTGCTTACTATGTAATTTTTTACAGACTGTAGTTTCTGCAGACGGCCGAAAAAAAGCTAATTTAAAAGCCGGCGTCCTGGCTTGACTAAAATATCCTAGGATTATGCTGCACGATACTTGGTATTACAATTCAGCTTAGGTAATCTTTTTTGGATTAAAAACACATTTCAGAATTGCGGCCAACACTTCATGAGATGCCACATCTACCCTACTTAGGCTGGTAAAAAGATTTGCACAATTTTTGCATGCCTCAACAGCACGATTCGACAAGCAAACGGCATTAAATAGTTTTTCGCTGAAGGTGAAGCAGACGCAAATTGCATAACGGTGAAAATTCAAAAGCTACCATGTTGTCTTTTATAGGCTCCAATAGCTTCTGGCTCAACTTTTCTTGACTTAGCCACTCACTTGAGGCCAGAATCCTAAAAACAGAAAGGTGCGAAAAATATGTGCATTGTCTTAAGAAGGCTTTAAACTATAAAAAAACTTTTCGATATTTTGCAGGTGCAGAAAATGTGGAGCACTTTCAGTACAACATTTCGCTAAAGGGGGCGTGCAGATTCTACGTCAAGGTAGTTCTGAGTTAAGCGAAAGTCGATTGTTAGACAAGAGTACATGATTTTTACAATTAAAAGGGTACTCTACTGAAGTTTTTCGAATAGCCGAAAGTACTGATGTTCTATTTGTTACACTTGAGTTAGTCAGGTCAGTTTTGATGGCCAATAAGGACTTCACGCCGGTTGCTAGGCGAGAATTTGAAACCGAAAGGCGTGGTCAGTTGGGACGAAGATAACGAACTAAATGGAGGCTAACTTTGAGTCTCAGGGCGTGTAAATCATCCGTATTGTATGTATTGTCGTCGGTACAAACCTCAAATTCGGTCGGAAAGTGGATATTCATATTTGGGCCTAAATCCATCAGTTTTAGTGACACAACTGCGTAACATTCACATTCTGCCGATGGGCAGCAGTAGTCTATGATTGGCCATACTCGCAGCAGGGATACTAGCGGATTTGAACGCCACTGATCAACTTAAATTTTAAGCCGGCAACTTCACTAGTCAATCGGGCTAGAGCGATCTCGCATCGCACACTGCACGGAGGACCTGACCGCTACAAAAGAGAGTTAGCATAACCAATATTTGAACAATCGTCAGGTAGACGTAAATGCTAGTATTGCAGTCGAAAGTACCGCGTACTAGCAGATGCGGCAAAATAACACAACAGGTGAAACCCAACCTGTAGGGAACACCTTCCAGACTCAAAATCGCATTAAATGGAAGATGCAGGTCAATAACTCGTGCTGCAAAAGAACCAAGTGGTGTAAAAGCATTGTGGTAGACGAATGATCTGTAACTTGAGGATCCGCACACCCAAAAATGAGAAGTGGACCAGGTATGCGTTTGTTGGAAAGAATAAGGGCGGGAAGGCTAAAACGACATGCACCAATAACCATTATGAGTTGTGCCGAAACTTGGTGGTAAAATACTCGTAGGTATAGTTGCAAACATCATTTATGTTAAACAGCCTTAGCTATAGCCTAAATGTCACCGTTTTAGTAAATGGGGGTTGGTTTAAAAAGGGCCTCAATGTTTCCGTACGTATAGCCAAGCACTCTTCTCAACTCTTGGAGACAGTCAGTAATAACAGAAAGCAAGATCGGACGAATGTGGTAGATGCTAAAACAGAATGACCCCCAAAGCTGAAGAACAAAACTGCTTAGAGGTCCTACTGACCAACACGTAATCGTGATAAGGGATGAATTAGCTAAGTTTCTTTTTGGGGAAATAACTAGTTAGATATTCGGGAAATTTCGACTGGTACATTGGACAGTTATCCGCTTTTTGTCACGGTCACTACTCAACTAAATAAACTTTGATGCCAGTCCCCATAGAATTTCCGATTTTATTCCCCAACAAATCGCAATTTAATTTCATCACAAAAGTCAAGTTAGACCGATTAGCCAATAAATTGTGTCCTGGATGCAACATTTGTATTTTTAAAAAATTAAGAGAATGACAACAACCAGAGAAAACAATAACGTTAGTTGGACTTACAATTGCTTCGGATTTTTGAAGGCTGAAAAATCACGTTCGATATAGCCGCGATCCAATTTGAAGTTCAAATCTTCATATAGGCAGGTGGCTTTCTAACGATTAGGCAGGAAAAGTGCGACAAACATGCATAAGTTCGTAGAACGCTGGCTTTCCAGTGTAGTAGAGGTCATGAAATGGTCTCCCAGTCTTGTCAAATTGGATCTCTGAAAGTGCGAGTTTAACAGTAATCCACTTTACTTTTCTTTTCTGGATATATTTCTTCGGGGGGCTGGAAAAGAAGTAAATGGGAAAGGATCTTACTTTGAGCTTAGGGCGTGCTCTCAGGCTTCCCAGACCCGACGGAAAGAAATAGCGCACAGCCTCGTCAATCTGTGACTGATCGAAAGTGGCTGGATCCTGACCCATCATACGGGCAAGGTATCTTCGCCCACGTTCATATTTGGCTCGTTCTTCTTCGAGCATATTTTCTAAAAAATACGAAGACCGAAGCGCAAATAACCATATGCTTGCACATTCTGCAAATAAAACTCTATTGAAGACGTCATGGCATCACTTTTGGTGCTTTCGCCTCCAGGGGAACCAGGAACTACGCCAAGAAACTTTTGCGCAAGTTTAATACTCCCAAACGGTCGTTACATGCTTCCGGACGTTAAAGGTCTCCGGAACCCTTGTTGAAAAGATCCGGCGCGCCAAGCTTCTCAGCATATTGCCTCTCTATCGCTCCCAATCAAGACACCCCTGACACCAAAGGTCCACAGGGCTCTTTCTGTCCGCCTGAATTGCCATTCAGTAAAAGCAAACACGATTAACTAAATATTTTTCACGGTTATTTTTTTAAGTTAATAGAGCTTGCTTCTTTATGACGACTTCTTTAAACATATACCAGACACAAATACTATTTTCCTCTTCATAGACCACGGAATTATATTACTTGTCAATATTTCATACAAAATACACGAATTCAGTGTGACATTTTCCAGGTACAATAATATTTCTACAGAAAAACAGTCTAAGCAGAACGGATAAACGAAAGTAAGTTTAAATGTTAGCTCTACTAAAATCTCTGCTGCACACGGTCGTTTTTCACTGCCTATCTTATAAGCACGAACTGAACACTGTGAAGTGTCTGTCTGCCTGCTGTAAAATTCGCTCCATGGTGCAAATTTACTCATTATGAATCTACCCAAAGAGTATTGAATGAACCTATTTATTTATTTAAGCTACTGAGTCATTTCAAATCGACAAAAGTGCCGACGTAGGACCATTTGATATTTGCTTAATGTAGATGTCTATGATGAAATATCTACTGTGCGAAATGTCCTCGTTATTTTGCGTCATTTATTCCCGTCGTCAGCTAAATCTCATGTGCACATATGGGTAATACAGCAATTTGCGATTAAACTACTGCCATCTTCCTCTGTACAGCATATCTTGGTCAAACTCATCCTAAACTTTATGCAGGTCCGCGTGCACAACAACCATGATCTCAGAGGTTTACTTTTAATACCATGATAACTGACGCTAATTAATCAAGGTGGCCTTTCTCCGCGTGAAGGCCCTCTAGTTTGTATGATGACATATTGAAACCTACTGATGTATAAGAAACAGTGGAGCGTAAAATAAAATTGAACGGACCTATTTCAGACTGAAAAAATTAAAATCGGCAAAAACCAGCACCAAGATAATGACACCTACTCTCAGTCTGAATGAGTCCTCTACCACACCATCTGCGGCATCTGCACATCACGGCATAGTCAATTCCGTAGGGAATTCGACTACTTTTAATGCTGAGCTCTTTAAACACACCATCACGCCTGGTATAAACACGCCTCTATCGACTCCCCCAGCAACCCCTATTAAGCCTAAGCATGTGTCTAAGTCAAAGGCAAATCCAATTGCTGTCTCAGCCACTCGGACGCCCAATAAATCCAGCACCACTGTAAAATCTTTTCCTCCACAATCGGCTAGCAGTGCCTCAAATACCCCGACTCAAAACGTAGCGGGTTCACAACTGCCCCCCAGCCCTCATATCGAGGCATTTAGGCCGAATATGCCGAGTTTTCCGCCGTTTAATAAAACTCTTGCTCCAATGGAAACAATGCGTTCCCTACCCCCTAACTTGTTTCCTCCACGGCCGTTTTACCAATTTATTCCTCATGATAATGTCCATACTGAATCAGTTAATTCATCCGATCCTCAGTTTCTTTCCGGCGGGAATACGTTTAGGTATCTGGCCCGCGGATTTCCAGCTGAAAATAAGTTAGCTAACAATGGTTACCAGTTCACCTGCCCGTCATTCCCTCCCCCAAGTCCTACCCCTTTTTATCCACGTCAGAATTGTTTGATGTCACAAATTTTTTTGCAAAACCAGATGGTTGCATCCGGACCATTTGCTCCGTGGGCAGCCCAGAACTGGACGATGTAGCCCACCTCCCTCAGAAACTAACAGCCTTTCCCTTCAAACTTTTTGTTTTAAATGCCAGATCCTTGCTTAATAAGGTGCCTTTGCTTCAGACTCAGGTGTTCGTCCATTGTCCAGAGATTGTTTTAGTAACTGAGACGAGGGCATCAGCCTCAGTAGCTGACTCCGAACTCTCGCTTCTAGGCTATAATTGCATCCGAAATGATCGCCAAGAAAGCCGTGGTGGGGGCAGCTGCGTCTACGTTAAGCAAACACTTGCATTTTTGCCGTTGGACGTCCCGCACTTTTCCGCAGTAGAAGGCAGCTGCCGGCTCCAGGTTTCACTAAAAAAATAAGTTCTCCTTACTCGTTGGCTGCGTCTATCGTCCTCCCAACGCCAACGACAATTTTGATCGTTTACTCTCACAGGCATTTCATGCTGCGGCCGACTCAAGCTGTAAGTATCAATTGGTTGCGGGTGACTTTAATCTTCCCGAAGTCCGCTGGTCTCCGTCTTCAGACCCATGAAGATTCGAAGACTTTCTTGAGGCTGTAGATGTTGGGATGTGGAATCAGGTTATACATTTTCCCACCCGAGGCTCAAGCATACTTGACCTAATTTTCTGTAGAGACTGCATGCCATCGTCGGTGTCATCCCTAGGCCCACTCGGGGGCTCAGACCATGACATAGTTGTTTCAACGTTGGAATTCGAAGCTGACAGAACGTCGTCCCCAAAGTATAGCTTTTTCCGCAATTTCCGATCAACTCGCTCAACTGAATTATTAACACACCTTAATTCCTACGACTGGACTGATTTCTTCCTTAGTTCGGATGTAAATGTTTGCACTGCAAATCTGTACGAAATTTTGGATCCGCTTATTTCTCGTTTTGTCCCCCGTAAGAAAATTATTACTGTTGGGGATGAGGTTTTCCTATCCTTAACCTTTCATCGCAGATTGCGCAGGCTTTATCGTCGTTTCCATCTTCAGAGCGATTTTTCTGTCCTGCCCTTGTTTCGTGATATTTTTGATCGAGCTAAGAGATTGTCTGAAGAAAAACAGCTAGCCGAAGAGGTCCAGTTTAAGACATCATATCCACCCACGACGTAACAGTCACCGTGAGGTCTTCTTATTTCTGCCTCTGGCACGTACTGTTAAATATCGTCGGTTCTCTTCTGTAAATGCAATTGCTATTTGGAATAAACTACCAATGAGTGTGAAAACTCTGCAAAATTATCCTTTATTTAAGAGAACTGTTACTCGATTTTTGCATTCAGAAAAGCTTCCTCCAATTCTGGGTTCTCAATCCACTGATCGACTCTACCGTAGCGATGGCGTTTGTGGTCTCTGAGCACTATGGCCGGTCACATCAGCTGTTCCTCAACGCCTCTACTTTGACTATCCCCAACTTCATGAAAGGAATTGACGTCCGATAATCTCCGATACCGTGTAACCCCCTCCCCCCTCCTCTTGACAGTCGAAAATCTACCGCCAACATTTTTTCCCCTGAACCCTCCAAACCATAAAAACCACCATCAACTATTTTTTTTTCTTCAGGAGTTTTTTTTTCACTGCTGGTCGGATTTGTGTTTAATCGCTTCCCAAGACAATGCCTGTAAACTGGCATTTAATAATAAATTAAATTAAACTCCCGGAGCGCTATAGCTCTATCTAGAACACAATAAAAAAACTGGAAATGAACTGTTTCGAGTTGGTTGCGCTTTGGTTTCACTGGCTTAAGATCTTTATCCAGTCAGTATTTAAAAAATGAGACAGCTCCGTTGTCCGTGACTCGCGCCATCATACCGTCGTGCAGCTGACGCACCATCTAAGTAAATCGCTCCGGACAGTCGAATTTCTGCATGATCTTCCACAGTCCTTCACGATTCACCGTGCCGAAGGCTTTCGTCAGGTCCACGAAGGTAGAGTACAGGTGGGTCCGCATCTCCTGACACTTCTCCTGAAGTTGACGGGCGGCGAAGATCATATCCGTGGTCCCACGATTACGACGGAAGCCGCATTGGCTTTCCGGCAGAAGGCCCTGTTCCAGATGGTTATGTGCCGAGGCCCCAAACTATCTTGCCTTTCCCTACCTGTTCCTCATTCTTCAACTTACTGGTTGTTTAACTGAATGGAATGAACACAACTCGACGCGACGCGCTTGGCATGAGTGGGATTGTCAGGTCGTTTGACTTTTGATTATTAAGTCTTCCATAACTCTGGTCTTATCCTGATTTTTATAGTCTGGGATTGACGGTTCTGTCTTTAACGCTCGCTACAGTGGTGACCCTTTGACGTTCACGCTTGTACCTTTAATTAGTCGACTTCCAATTTGCATACCGCCCGTTTGCCTTCTTTCTTTCTACAATCATGTCCTCTACGAATTCCAACGATCCCACTTCTTCTCTCAGTGGACTTGTTTCTTCCCTCCCAGACTTTTGGCAACATACGCCAGAGCTTTATTTTTTCCATATCGAGGCGACATTTCACTCCGCCAAGATAACACGTGAAACGGACAAATATTATAAGTTGCTCGAGGCCCTTCCCCCGACTATTCTTTCCCAAGTGCAGACGTTTCTAAGAGATCCCCCGACTAATGCTCCCTACACCAAGTTAAAGGCTAAACTTCTTCGCCTGACATCAGTATCCGATCGGCAGCGTTATGACGCGCTGGTAAAAGAGGAAGCCTAAGGTGATCGCAAGCCGTCGGAACTCTTGCGTCGTATGCGTTCTCTTGTTGGGAACATGACAATCGACGACAAGTTCTTTAAAGAGATGTTCTTAGAACGTCTGCCGACGTTGGTACAAACAATTTTGGCCTCTGGCTCCGACGACCTAGACATATCAAAGTTAGCGGCGATGGCTGACCGTATGATGGAGGTTGAGCGTTTTTCATCCACGACGATTGCTCAGGTGTCCCAGCCTCTCACCGTGTCCACCTCTGACTTGGCTGAATTAAAGACACAGATTGCCCAGTTGTCAGCGACTGTTGCCGCTTTGCAGCTGCGCCGATCCCCCAGTCCCTCTCGACGTTCCTTCGGCCGTGACCGTCGTCGCTCTTGCCCTCGCCCCAGGACCGCCAACCCATGCTGATATCATGTCAACTATGGCGATAAGGCGCGGCGCTGTGTCCCACCCTACTCCTTCAAGTCCACGCAGGGAAACTCCTCGGCCGGAGAGTAAATGCGGCCGAGCTCTCTGGCAACTCTACGGGTCGCACATTTTACGTGAGTGATAACACGAGTGGCAGGCATTTTTTGGTCGACACTGGCGCTCAGATTAGTGTTATCCCTCCCACGCCAGCCGACCGACGTTGCCCAAACCATGGTCTTTACCTTCAGGCCGTAAACTCATCCCCCATTACAACCTTTGGATTTCGATCCCTCTCCCTGGATATTGGTCTCCGGCGATTATTCCCCTGGATATTTGTGGTTGCTGATGTTCCCACTGCTATCCTTGGTGCTGATTTTTTGGCCGCCTTTGACCTTCTGGTGGATTGCAGACAACTTCGCCTCCATGATCGCGCAACTACCCTCATTGTCAAAGGATTTCCTCCATCCTCAGTTTCTAACCAGCTCTCCGTCCTTGACCCAAACCCTGACTGTCCATTTCGTAGACTTTTAGCAAAATATCCGACCCTCACTAAGCCCCATTTTTCTGACACCTCATTTTCCCATGATATTGTTCATCACATAAAAACGACTGGTCCTCTCGTTTTTTCTCGTCCCCGCCGTCTTGCTCCCGCGCGTCTTGCGGCTGCTAAAGCAGAATTTGACCACATGCTGCAACTAGGGATTATTCGACAGTCTGACAGTCCCTGGGCATCTCCTTTGCACATGGTTCCTAAACCAAA